GTCTCTCTTTCTTCTCCCTCTCCCTCGCTCCTTTCTGCCTGGGTGGAGCTCATTACAGGCCCTCGCTCTTGGCCCACGCACCTATGTGACTGCCACCACCTGCTGCTGATCTGGCTGAGTCCTCAGCTACTATTTAAGTCAGTGGCACAACTTCCTGCTTCCACACAGCCAGCATATGACAATGGTTGAGATGCATTATGGAAAATATGGAATCTATATTTTGGAGTAATTAAATATTTTGAGATTTTTTATTATCTGTTATCACTGAATTGCTGGAATCACCTATCAGCAGATATGTTTCTAATCGTTAGATTGCCATTAGAGTCTCTCTGTAACCTTGAGTATTCTAAGCTTAACCATAATCCTTACCACAACTCAGTGTTAATGGTTTGAAGTTTAGAATATTGTCACCCAATTTATGTTATTGTAGTTGATAAAGATGTTTGTATGATGCATAAACAGCACGACCAGTTAGCATAAAGACAATTATGGAAATTTAAAGGTGTTTTTGTGAGAGTGTTTTGGTTTACCGTAACGCCTCTTTTGTTTACTTTCTGTGTGTTAAAGAAACCCACTGTAAAACAACACTGTGCTCTTGGTGTTGTTTCGGTTGTTTAGGCCGGAAGGATGATTGATATTATTTCCATTGTGGTAGTAGAACGGAGCACCAACATAACAAACAGCCAATCAGATTGTTCTGAAATTGTTCCCTCCCACTTGATGTGATTATATTAAGGAGCATCATCTTAGTTTGCCTAAATGTAAATGAGTCACAAGTAAATCCATCAGAAAATGCTGATTGTATTTTATATGCTGCTGGGCTTCAGAGCTGGTCGTAAGTTTAGAGTCGGCTTTTTCCATATATATTTCTCCAATTTAACATGTGGAATATAGAACTCTATATCTAACTGCTCTGCTTAATTTGACTTTCAGGATGCACTGACTATGTGTTTTTTGGAACGAAGACTATTGGTGTTGGAGAAAATGTGACCCTGACATGTGCGCGCCCAACATCTGAATATGAAACAACCTTGTATTGGATCAGGATTGTTTCTGGAAGCTGGCCTGAATTCTTGGGAGGAACATTTACCTTTGATTATGACGGTGTTAACACCACTCCTCACATTACAGCAAAGCAAGAACCTGGAACCTTTATTCTGGAAATAAGTCAAACTAGGCTAAGTGACACTGGTCTTTATTACTGCATAAAAGTGGACCAACTGGACATGGAATTTTTAAATGCAACATTTTTAAAAATTAAAGGTAAACAGAACTGATTATTTCTTACCCATGTTTACAAATCAATATCTTACTAAAATGAGTAAAACATGACTTTATTGATTTATGTATTTACATTAACAGTTACTTAATTATTTTCTAAGGGCCAGAGACGGCTATCACTGACATCATTCAGGTGCCTCAATCTGGTCCCCTCCATCCGGGAAACCCAGTGACTCTGCAGTGTTCAGTCCTCTCTAACCCAGAGAACAGTGCATGTCCTGGAAATGACAGTGTGTTTTGGTTCAGCAGTAGATCTGATAACTCTCACCCCAACTTGATTTATGCTGATGGAAACAGTGATGAATGTGAGAGGAGTCCAGAGGCTTCCTCCACACAGAAATGTGTCTACAGCTTCTCTAAGAACGTCAGCTCCTCTGATGCCGGGTCGTACTACTGCGCTGTGGCCACATGTGGACATATAATCTTTGGAAATGGAATAAAACTGGACGTTAAAGGTAAATTTGAAGAATGCTATAATAATTTAGAATAGGCTAGTTTAACATCAGCATAAAAGGTTTTTTTTTTTCCAGTTTATAATGTCACTAAAAGTAATAATTATTACTGGGTGCTTTTATTTTTCCAGGACTCAACATGTGGGACTTGCAAAAGGCTAATACAGTTCTATTTCTATTATGTGCTGCTTTGGCTACAAGTCTGAT